TCTCTCTCTCACACACACACACACAAACACATTCTACTCGACATACACACATAAAACTGCCCGGTAAACCGTAGGCAGAGAGGGAGAAGAGGACAACAAACGAGGGGCTGTGACAAACTGTTTCGTCGGAGTTTCACCGACTCATCTGGAGGCTGAACCCTTATATATAGATTTCGATAGACCAAGGACCAAGACTCATCATTTACGGTACGGACTACCAGGGTCGTTTTGAATTTAAATCCAAAAAAACAGATTATATCACTCTCTGAATTTTTGTTTTGATTAAAAAAATATCGAGTCAATCTGTTTCCAATTCATAAATATTTACATGTTTGTAACATGTACATAGTTATGTATTTATTTTTTACATGTACATAAATTCATATATATATATTTTATATACACATAATACCAACGACCATGCCACGCCATCAAACACATGTGCATTCCGTAACGCATGGAAGACAAAATTTCATGCCACGTGAATAAAATTTCATGCCACGTGGCGCCCGGATAGATGAGACAAAGACAAACCACATGGCTAGAGCATCTTCTTTTTCTTTATTTTTTTTTTTTCTTCTTTTTCTTTGTTTTTCCCTCCCTATAAAGACAAGCTGACGTGTCTTGTTAGATGACGTGTCGATCGACAATGAAGTTGAACTCAGCATCTTTTTTTTTTCTTTCCTTTTTTCTTTTTTTTTTCTTTTTTTTTCTTTTTTTCCTATCAATAAACAGTTCACCACACTTCTTCTCCCTCATCCACCTCGCAGAAATACAGAGATGTTTTTCTTCGTTAATTAATAACTTTAGATTCTTTCATCTCCATATATAAGTCGATTCCTTCACACAAGTTCTTTCAACAAAAGGTGTTTTTTTTTTTTTTTCTTCACGAAGATTTTCCCATATATAAATCGTTTTCATCTCCAACACCACCAAAAACAGACTCCCCCATGTGCTTTAGCAATATTTAATATTATTAATTAATTCCATAATTAACACTTTTTTACCAACTCCGGCGCCACCAAATAATCCAATCAAAAAAAAAAAAAAAAAAAATTCCAATTTTGCCACCTCTACGATAAGGTGTCAAAATATCTACTACCTTATTTCCTCAACGAAGGTGTTGTTTCCCCCCCCCCCCCCTTCACGAAGATTTTCCCTGCTGAAGATTCTTACCTTATTCAGAAAAAAAAAAAAAAAAGATAAGCAGATCAAATACTTCTCCTGTTATAGAATGATGATTGAATTTCCCATCATTATTTCTCTGGATTTTTTTTTTTTCGGTATTCTCATTCGATTCATCAACATCATTCATTCTTTTCTTTAAGCCTCTCCACCATTCCGCAAATGTACAGAGAATGAATTTTACGCTAGAACATGAACAGATACACCCCCATATTTTTTGCCTTGTGCGCATGTGGTGAGGAGATAAGCGAGAGGCCCTTTACCGCCATCGTGAAGTACATCTCGAGGCCATCGACGCTTTTTGCCTAAACGCTACTGTACTGAGCTTTCAAAAAAAAAAAAAAAAAAAACGCTCTCAAAGT